TGTACGCGAGTGCTTTAAAAACTCACCTCTCCTTTCATGGCAAATAACCATAATATAACACTTTGTATCGCCACGCTTAATGTTCGTGGGTTACCGGCCCGGCGGCGACAAGTGCAATTAAGGCGCCTTTTGCTGAATAACGAAATAGACGTACTTGCTGTTCAAGAAACAAAGATCTAAAGTGAAAAACTAACAACGAAAATGGTTGATATATTTAAACCACGGTATATCGTCTGCGTGAGTCATGGACTAAGCAGGTCAGGGGGCTGTTTATTAATGCTGCGAAACTGCATCGGTATTGTTCAACAGCGTGTGTTTTAACTTCCCACGGTGAAAGACCAGTACTGTGCGATTTAGCCTGATAAGATGTAAGCTGGCGAATAATATGTGTGTATGCACCAAACAGTGCAGAGGAAAGGAAGGCTTTTTTTGAATATTTAGCCACCCTTCTGACAGCCGAAAAAAAGCTGATCCTTTTAGGAGACTAATTGTGTTTGCATGCCTGACGACCGAGTTCAGAATACGAGAATTAAGGATGTTCGTGCAATGAGGCTTCACGAAATTGTGTGCAACTCTGAATTTGCAGGCGTTAGAAATATTTTGAGTGCAAATGAAGTAGTTTATACTAACTTTCAAGGGCAAAGCCATACTCGGCTAGATCGAACATACATTTCTGCGGACCTTATGCCAATGGCTACAAACTATGCAGTGCAACATGTGAGTTTTAGTGAACTTAGCATGGCAATGTTTAAAATAAGAAAGAGGTGTAATGTGTCGAAGTTTAACTGGGAGCTCTGGAAAATAATGGTAATATTTTAAAGAATGAGTGCTTCATGAAAGCCGTGATGGAAAAAGTACAAACAGCAAGAAAAAATGATGTATCGAACATAGCGGGTGCATGGGAAAATTTAAGAACGAAGTCAAACTGATTGCGATCGAGAGAACAGCGGTGCGGCGCCAGAAAGCAAACCAAAGGGAAAATGAATTACTAAACCTACTCGATTACTTTCAAAATACCGAGTGCGCTGTACCGGGGTTCTTTAGGACAGAAACTAAAAGGATCAAAAGTGAACTTGAAGCGATAGATGCGGAGCGTTATCAAGGGGCAGTTATAAGGGCGCGATCTGAGCGACTATGGCAAGGGGAGGCACCAACAAAACGTGCACGCTGTGAAGAGAAATATTACGGATCAGGTAAGCGTATCAAGGAACTTTGGTTCAACGGCAAGTTGTCAGGAGACCAAAGCAAATTGGTGACAGCTTTTGTTGAGCATTACCAGATATTGTTGGACATACGCGTCGAGGCATCTTATGAGTTCACAGATACGTTCCTGGCGCTGTTAGTAAAGATAGATAACGAAGTGAAAGAGAGATTTGAAACGCCAATCTCAGTCACGGAAATTCTACATGTGATAGAAAACCTTGGATACGGAAAGCCTCCTGGACCAGACGGCCTAGGAGTGCTCTTTTACATACCTTTTAAAGTTGAAATTGCATAAATACTTCCGAACGGTATAGCTGAAGCATACGAACCTAAACAGCTACCACCCTAGTTTAGAACAATCCTTGTAATAATACCTAAAACAAAAGACCCAGTTAAGCTAAAGTCTGTTAAGGAATTTAGGCCTATAAGTCTCACAAATGTGGACAATAAAATATACATGAAAGTACTGGGAAACAGACTACAATCTGTTTTTACCACAATACTTGGTCCCCACCAAACGTGCAGAATAAAAGGGAGAACAATATTCACTAACATTCACGTCGCTAGAAGTATACTGGAGTGCTGCGATGCGAACCTCGGATGTGTAGCAGTGGTGCAGCTCGATTTGGAAAAAGCTTTCGAAAGAGTTGCTCACAGCAATCTTCTGGTCATGTTGGAATACGTCAATTTGGGTGGAATCATCCGCAAAGGTGTCGCCATGGCTTATGCGAAAAGTTTTACTGAACTAATAATAAATAAAAGACGGAGCGACAACATACTGGTCCTATCAAGAGTGCGTCAAGGGTGTCCTTTGTCGCCGTTGCTCTTTGCTATCTTTCTCGAGCCCTTCTGTTTGAAGATATGTGAGAACCCTAATATCCGTGGACATCGTCTAATAAATCAAGAAGTAAAAATACTGGCGTACGCAGATGACTACCATGAAAGCATTCTGTACTACTATGTGTACTACCATGAAAGCATTCGGGGTGCACTGAAAGATGCAAGACAATTCTGTAGTAGCATTGGTAGTGCCATAAACTGGCAAAAAAGATTAGGATTCTGGCACGGCCAGTAGAGTAGCATGCGGACAGTCTTCGAATGCATATCATTCATCGACGCTCCAATCAATTACCTTGGAGTGCCTTTACAGTATTACCACGATACAAAGAAGCAGTGGACAGATCAAGCTGAGTGGGTTCAGGAGCAAACAGCCACATGGGGAAGCAGACGCCTCTCAATATTTGCGAAGTCAGCAGTGTCTAATGTGTTTCTTGTCGCCAAAGTGTTTCATATGTTGCATGTATGATGTATGGCCCGGATGAGTGTGCAGAAAATGCACAGAATTTTTGTTGTGTTCGTATGGGTGTCATCGTGGGAGCGTACAAGCCACCTGACTTTGTTTCAATCAGTGAAAGAGGTGGGCTTGGATTGCATATTTTTGTTTTTGAAGCAAATAGTTGCCGGATTCATGTTCCTGCGTGATGAAAGTAATAAGTTTGTTAAGATGCGTTATCCAGACGGGGTTGGGTGACGCAATTTAAGATTATATGGTTACGTCATGTGCTGCACCAAAAGTGTCAGTGAAAGGGCTTTGGTTTAAAATAACAAGTGCTTATTGGTTCCTGAGAGCGCATTTTTTGCTAGAATATTCGATTTCGGTCACAAAAAAGCAATTGTACAGAGATTTGGTTTATGTTGTGTGTCTTGTTCTCAGATACTTGGCAATATTTGTACTGGGTAAAGAAAAAAATGTTTTAAAGAGAGTTAAACGAATGCCAGTGAGAGCTACCACAAAAACATTTTACCTAATGTTACACACGGGCACGCTTCCTGTAAAACCATGGCTAAAAGACTAAGGAATATTTTTACCTTGGGGCGTAAACTGCTACATAGCCAAAAACCATAAACTATCGATCATAAGTTCTTGGATTGCTCGGACTCTGTCTTCATTTCGGATATTCTGCAGAAGACATTAAAAAAGGAATTTCCATTAACTACATTCGGAATCTGCCTTTTACAATTCGAAGTTACAGGAGGTGTGCCCTACGAAATGATGATGCTACTTTGCATGCACAGTGTGTTGAAAACAGGAATGGCTTTTCAAAATCTAGACGTAAATATCAGGCCTGCCAGCGAACACTTTGAAGAAAATATTCTGTTCAATAGAGAATTGTACAAATCCCTTCTTGAACCACCAGAGTGGTTACCTCTCGTTGAAAAATTGGTTGCCATCAAATATTACTAATTTACACTGTCAACAAGATAAACTCACAATGCATATTTTAATTTTTCGGCTGGGGCCGATACAATCTGTGCTGTATAACGTCTGTATCGCTATAAACAGGTTAAAAAAAGTTTCCATGGTGTAGTGGTTATCACGTGCGCCTCACACGCGCGAGTTCCACGGTTCGATCTCGGGCGGAAACGTTACTTTTTTTGGTCTCACTGTCACTGCATGCAGTTGGTTTCTCCGTAGCCATAAGGACTAAAATAACACACAAGAAGCCATTACATCAGCTTTTTTATCTTCCTTTATAACAGCCTTTAAATAGCGCCCTGCTTTCTAGCTCACTGAGAGAGAGGGTGACGATGCTTGTTTTCAGTGGTGTAGTGGTTATCGCATGCCCCTCACAAGTTCAAGGACCCCGTTTCGATCCCGAACGGAAACGTTAGTTTTTTGGTCTCGCTGTCACTTCTGGTGGTTACTTTCTCCGTAGCCATAACGACTAAAATAACACATAAAAATTCACTACTTCAGCTTTTTTTATCTCCTTCATAACAGTCTTGGAATCGCATCATGCTTTCTAGCTCATTGAGAGAGAGGGTGACCGTGCTTGTTTTCCGTGGCGTAGTGGTTATTACGTGCCCCTCACACGCGCAAGGTCGCCGGGTTCAATCCCGGGCGGAAACATTACTTTTTTGTTCTTGCTGTCACTGCATGCAGTTGCTTTCTCCGTCGAGTAACGACTAATAACACACCAGAAACCATTACATCCGCTTTTTTATCTTCCTTTATAACAGCCTTTGAATAGCGCCATGCTTTTTAGTCTACTGACAGAGATTGTGGCCGTGCTTGTTTTCCATGGTGTAGTGCTTATCACGTGGGCCTCACACGCGCAAGGTCACCGGTTCGATACCTGGTGAAAACGTTACTTTTTTCGGTCTCACTGTCACTGCATGCAGTTGCTTTCCCCGTAGCCATAACGACTAAAATAACACATAAAAATCCTTACATCAGCTTTCTTATCTTCCTTTATAACAGCCTTGAATTAGCGCAATGCTTTGTAGCTCACTGAGAAAGAGGGTGGACGTGCTTGTTTTTGTGGTAAAGTGGCCATCACGTGCGCATCACACGCGCGAGGTCCGTAGTTTGATCCCGGGCAGAAACATTACCTTTTTTATCTCGCTGTCACTTCTGGCGGTTGCTTTCTCCGTAGCCATATCGATCAAAATAACACATAAAAATTCATTTCATCAACTTTTTTTATCGTACTTCATAACAGTCTTCGAATAGCGCCATGCTTTTTAGCTCACTGAGAGAGAGTGTGCAGGTGATTGTTTCCGGGGTGTAGTGGTTTTCACGTGCGCCTCACACGCGCAAGGTCCCCGGTTTGATGCTGGGTGGAAGCATTACTTTTTTCGTCGCGGTGTCACTTCTGGAGTTTGCTTTCTCCGTAGCCATAACGATGAAAATAACACATCAAAATACATTAAATTAGCTTTTTTTACGTTCTTGATAACAGCCTTGGAATAGCACCATGTTTCCTAGCTCACTGAAAGAGTGTCTGGACGTGCTTGTTTCGGTGGTGTAGTTGGTATCACGTGTGCCTCAAACGCTCAAGGTCCCCGGTCCGATCCCGGGCGAAAACATTACTTTTTTGATCTCGCTGTCACTTCTGGCGGCTGCTTTCTCAGTAGCCATATCGACTAACTTAACACATAAAAATACAATACGTCATCTTTTTTATCGTACTTCATTACAGTCTTGGAATAGCACCCTGCTTTCTAGCTCACTCAGACAAAGGATTCACGTGCTTGTTTCCGTGGTGTTGTGGTTATCACGTGCGCCTCACGCGCTCAAGTTTCCCGGTACGATCCTGAGTGGAAACATTACTTTTTTTGGTCTCACTGTCACTGCATGCAGTTGCTTTCCCCGTAGCCATAACGACTAAAATAACACACAAGAAGCCATTACATCAGCTTTTTTTATCTTCCTTTATAGCAGCCTTGGAATGGAACCATGTTTTCTAGCTCACTGAGAAATAGTGTGGACGTGCTTTTTTCCCTGGTGTAGTTCTTATCACGTGGGCCTCACACAACCAAGGTCCCCAGTTCAATTCCGGTTGGAAGCATTCATTTTTTCGTCTCGGTGTCACTTCTGGAATTCGCTTTCTCCGTAGCCATAACGACTAAAATAACACATAAAAATTCATTACATCAGCCTTTTAAATCTTCCTTTAAAACATTCTTGGAATAGCGCCATGCTTTCTAGCTCACTGAAACAGAGATGCACGTGCTTGTTTCCGAGGTGTACTGGTTATCACATGCGCCTCACGCACGCAAGGTCCCCGGTTCGAACTCGGGCGGAACATTTCTTTTTTTGGTCTCGCTTTCACTGATGCAGTTGCTTTCTCCGTTTCCATAACGACTAAGTAACTCACATGAAGGCATTATATCAGCTTTTTTTATCTTCATAACAGCCTTGGAATAGCACCATGCTTTCTAGCTCACTCAGACAAAGGATTCGCGTGCTTCTTTCCGTGGTGTCATTCTTCTTCCGGCCGCGCAAGCGAACGGTCGCAGAATGATGTGCTCCGACGGAGCGGCGATAGCGGCCCCAGCCGGCCGCGGAAACAGGATCGGTGATAAGGACGACGAGATCGTTCTGCCAACTTTGCCCACCGGCTGTGTTGTACTTCACAGGTTGTTTTTGCATGGTGATGCGCGTGAACGTCCTTACAAGGTCGAGGACTTCCGGGACGCCCTCGCAACGGTTTGTTTGCTCCTCGACGTAGTCGCGTTGGGGGCATACCAAATCAACCACGTGTGGCCTGTGACTGTGAACACTGCTGAAGCGGCGAAGAAATTGGCCGCCTTGAAGGAATTGAAGGTGAAAGGCCGTCGATGTATCATTTTGGACCACGAGGACTAGCAGGTCAAGCTTTGCCTACATTGGACGCTGTACGGCGTCCAAGATGAAGACATTCGTACGACTTTCGCTGCGTACGGGAACGTCAACGAAGCGACGCGTGAGCGGTGGCGTGTTCAAGGTATGCGGTAAAAGGGCTCCACAACGAGGGCCGTGCTGTTGAAGGTAAAGCCAGGAGTCAAGGTGGACGACCTGCCCCGTCAGGTTCGAGTCACTGGTGAGCTGGCCCTCGTCGTGGTGCCTGGGCGGGCGATGCAATGCCTCCGCTGCCACGGCACCGGACACGTACGACGCGACTGCAAGGTACTACTGTGTTCCAAGTGCCGGCTGTATGGGCACGTCTACGAAGACTGCGTCCGTACGTATGCGTCGGCGACGGGGCTGCCAAAGACCAACGAACATGAAGAGCTAATGGACGTCGCCGAGGCTGAGGAGGCCGCGAGGGGCTCGGACGAAATATGCAAAAGCACGGCGACACCAGATGCGCCTGTGCAATACGGCAGTGAGGCCCTGAAAAAGGATGGTCCGGCGGGCCTTCAACCTCTAGATGATTTGTCGCCATCAACCGGCCATGAGCTAGCTCCCTAAGACATATCTTTAATGGCGACAGATGGCGACGCCGGCAAAGGTGTTGTTCCATTACTTCGGCATTCAGCTGACGAGTTGGCCGCGAAAGCCAAAGTGACGGCGGGAGCTACAGGGAACCAACCGGCACCTAGGATCAGCAACCTTAAGGGCACCCCAGAGCCACAGTTGGAAAAGGGCTGCGTCCAAACACGATCGACGGCTTCTGTGGCGTCGAAACGCCCCGACACCCAGACCACGAATGACGGAAGCCCAGTAGCAACGACCGGAGTCGAGGAACCTCCGGCAAAGACGCCTCCTGGGCGGCGGCCATCAATCCAACCGCGTCCCAACGTTCAAGCCACAAGCGCAGCAGCAACGTTGAGCCGGACGGGCAAGTCACACCAACAGCGCTGGAGGGCAACGCCGGTGTTGTTGCCGTATAGCCACGGGCTAGACGCAGGAGGTGAGCGCGATGCTGCCGGTCTCTTTCTTCTTGCGTTAAAATGGTGCCTGTCTTTCTGTTAAAAGTCGCTACCGTAAACGTTAGGAATCTAGCAACGAAAATGAAGCAAACCCAGCTTTATAGACTTGTAACGAAACGAGATATAGGCATCCCAGCAGTGCAGGAGACAAAAGTTGACATTGATGAAGAGACCGGCAGCATGATGCGTCTTTTCGCGTGAAGGTTTTTTTAGTTGTCAGTCAAGCCGTAGGCACATCGGCTGGCTGTATACTTTTTGTAAAGAAAGTTCCGGGGCTTCAAGTTATCGCCCATATCTTCTGTGCTGCCGGCCGGCCTGCTATGCTCGACTTCTCTTTGAATAACACCTAGTGGCCTATCATTTGCGTGTACGCGCCCAACAGGGTGGAAGAAAGGGCCCTTTCACGGCCTAGAGCAGCACTTTAGCGCAGGAGAGTAGTTAGTAGTGTTGGGCGACTTTACCTGTGTTGTCAGTGCACATGACAAGAGAAGCCCTCGGAGTTTCAGAGATAAGAGCAGGGTCGTGTCGGCGTGGGTTCTTAAGCACTGGTGCCTTGAGAATGTGGCAGAGTGTCTCCACTGTGTGAGTTCGGTTAGGTTCACGAGGTTTGAGGGCATAAGTCACGCGAGACTTGACCATATTTATGTATCTGACGACATTCTTCTGATGTGCGCTAATTACAATGTTGTACTGGTGTCAGTTTCTGACCAGTGCGCAGTTCTGTGCTCAATTGGAACTGTAAAGAAAAGCAATTGTTTCTCGTGGAAAACCTGGATATTTAATACTAAGCTTCTCTAGGACGAAGATTGTAATTTACAATTAAGGGAGGCAATTAGCCAGATAGACGCCAGCAAAGACCTTCACATTTGGCAGCTGTGGGAGCTCTGCAAGGAAACCTTGAAATTAAAAGCCACTGACAGGGCCGCGTGCATTCGACGTGAGGAGAAAAAAAAGAAACTCTTGGAATAGCACCATGTTTCCTAGCTCACTGAGAGAGAGAGAGAGAGAGAGTGGACGTGCTTGTTTCCGTGGTGTAGTTGTTATCACGTGCACCTCACACGCGCAAGGTCCCCGGTTCGATCACGGGTGGAAACATTACTTTTTTCGGTCTCACACTGTCACTGCATGCAGTTGCTTTCTCCGTAGCCATAAGGACTAAAATAACACACAAGAAGCCATTACATCGGCTTTTTTATCTTCCTTTATACCAGCCTTGGAATAGCGCCATGCTTTCTAGCTCACTGAGAGATGGTGGACGTGCTTGTTTTCTTGGTATAGTGGCTATCACGTGCACCTCACACGCGCAATGTCTGCGGTTTGATCCCAGGCGGAAACATTACTTTTGTCGGTCTCACATCGTCACTGCATGCAGTTGCTTTCTCCGTAGCCATAAGGACTAAAATAACACAAGAAGCCATAACATCAGTTTTTTTTTATCTTCCTTTAAAACAGCCTTTTATTATCGCCATGCTTTCTTGCTCACTGAGAGAGAGTGTGCATGTGCTTGTTTCCGTGGTGTAATGGTTATCACGTGCGCCTCACACGCGCAAGTTCCCCTGTTCGATCCCGGGTGGAAACATTACTATTTTTGGTATCACTGCCACTGCTTGCAGTTGCTTTCTCCGTAGCCATAAAGTTAAAGAAACACAAAAAAATCACAATTTTTCTGCAAAGACGAAGCAATGAACGCGATAGCCACAAATTGTAAGGTAACGGGCAGTATTACAAGCACATCGAATGGTGCCCCGCGTTTCTCACGCACAATTGACGCATGAATGCGTACTCACAGGGGCAGATGAACTCGAATAAGCGTCTCAGTCGTTGCTTCGCCCTGACTGAAAAGCGCGCCCTTTTTGCAAAAGGAGAATGTGGAACCATTGCAGCGACCTTTGTGCGACCGGTAACTTTGAAATACTGCGTACTAGGCGTACGATCCTCCCAACTGCAAGATAAGTGCATGCGATCAAGCGTACACCCCCTTATTTTTACGCGGGCCAAAGTACGCATGAGAGATGACAGCCGCCGCGGGCTCACTGCGCCATCTTGCTTATAATGCTCAAAAAACGCGATAGTTCCCCTCCGAGATTCCCTCAAACAGCGGTAAGTGGTACGTATTCATAGCTTGTCGTTTGAACGTCCTTGAAGATACTCAACGGTGGCTCAAGGATAACGCCTCGCATTCACAACTGCGATGTCGCACGTTAGATTCCGCGTGCTGTAAGCTTTTAAAGACGATAGTTTTTCCTGTAGATTTGACGCAAAGACTTTTTTCTGTCTGTCTATACATTTGTCTTTTTGTCTACCGTTACTGCGAACCGTGCACTCGAAACAGCTACCTGCCGATACCCAAAACGGCCGACCCCATCCGCAGCGCCCACCAAAGTTGCTCAAGAATCAGCGTTCATACGGGCGCGTTTGTCATTAAAAAAGCAATTATTGCGCATATCTGAGGCACCATAACAGCACCTATATATTCTGCATGTTCGTATTCTAGTAAAAAGGCATACCTAAATAATTCTAAGGACAGTAGCGCTTATCACGCTGCGCTGACCATGCAGCGCTTGAACGGACCGGGGAGTGATTTCAACGCTTTGCAAAGACGAGACGGTGGTGGCACCTTCCTGTCGCCTTGTGTTTTACACCTTATCAACTCTGAGTCGAGCGCGCACACC